GGACCCAGATTACTCCGCGACGCTCCTGAGTACGGTAGCCATAATGCTCCAACAATCCATCAAGCGGTGTAGCTTCGTACCTTAGCAAAGTCGTACTAATACTGCACCTTATAGCCCGAAAAGACACGGTAACCATCTAGGATTGACTCACTTTGGAGCCAGCCCCAAGTGGCCACTAATGGAATTGCAGTTTTTTGTCCCTTTTGCATGGGCTCCATGTTTTGCTCCTGTGTACCCCCCTGTTGCCAGCAGAAACCATGACAAATGCCTGGTCTCATTTGCTTTCTGTGTGGAGCAGAGAAGCTGTTTGTTGATGTTGAAAATCTTCCAGCAGCTTTGAGGCATCTTGGCTGTCACCTCTCTTTCGTTCCCTGGGGTTTTAATTTTATACGTGTCACCGCAGTATCTTTCCTTCCCTCCTCACAACTCATTCTAAGCTCTTTATTTTAGGCTGTCATGGCACAGTGAGCTCGTCAAAGTGTGAGCTAAAATGTTTGAAAAATCTGCATCACGGTCTTTTAGAGTGTAACACAGGGTCTTCTCAGGGTAGTAGGGTTTCAAGCTCAATACTAAGAAAAATACTCACTACTTGTTATCATCTTTAATGTCACAGGGAAAAAATGTCAAAAATTAAAGAAACTTTTTAAAATAAAAACTAGAACAGTACAAACAATATCAGTGACAACCATATTTTTAAGTTGATTGATGTAGTGCACAATACATCAATGTAACTTTCAGGTTTATATCAAATATTTAAGATTTACTGACAAAAAATAGACAAACATATTGTGGGTATCTAGTTTCAATTAGATAATGTAGCAGTAAGTGAGTATACTGTATACTGCAGAGGCTCACAGCAGGAACGTGATGTAAATTGATTCAACTTTATAAATGTGGTCATTTATAATCTTGCATTGACCTGAACTTTTAACTTTTGACTTTTGACACTTGGTGTGCTGTAGGTTATTGTTATGTACTACATTTGTTACTCGCTTATGAAGCACAGTACATGTTTCGTACTTGTATTTACCGGTAC